TATATTAGTAATGCGACCTGGATCTTTGAGAGGGAGAGAGAGATATATTAGTAATGCGACCTGGATCTTTGAGAGGGAGAGAGAGATATATTAGTAATGAGACCTGGATCTTTGAGAGGGAGAGAGAGATATATTAGTAATGCGACCTGGATCTTTGAGAGGGAGAGAGAGATATATTAGTAATGAGACCTGGATCTTTGAGAGGGAGAGAGATATATTAGTAATGCGACCTGGATCTTTGAGAGGGAGAGAGAGATATATTAGTAATGAGACCTGGATCTTTGAGAGGGAGAGAGAGATATATTAGTAATGCGACCTGGATCTTTGAGAGGGAGAGAGAGATATATTAGTAATGCGACCTGGATCTTTGACTTTGAGAGGGAGAGAGAGATATATTAGTAATGCGACCTGGATCTTTGAGAGGGAGAGAGAGATATATTAGTAATGAGACCTGGATCTTTGAGAGGGAGAGAGAGATATATTAGTAATGCGACCTGGATCTTTGTGATAAGAGGGAGCAGCTCCATCAAACGAGAGAGGTCATTACTGGACGGCGCTATAAGCTTCTCAATACACTCTATCTTCGAATTGTTTATAAAATTTAAGCGTGAGTTCCCCTGGTAAAAAAGATTGTCGCTTTGAAGATCTCCAAGAACTGAACACAATAACAGCTTATCATTCAATTAAAATACTTCAAATACCTCACGTCATTATCTTATTATCGATTGATTAATTCGTTAGAAAGCTGAGAGTTAGGAGGTACGATAAATTTTCGAATACAGCCACTAAACAAGAAATTCAAGATACGAAATGTAGAGCATATACTCATTTAAATCACAAAGCGATTCTATACAAAATTTAAACACTAGAGCAGTGCAGCATATAAAGATCAATCAAAATGTGCAGGTCGCTTTAGTAGTAGGACCGGGGTCTTGGCGGTAAGTGAGTAGAGATAGGAGGGTTTAAAAACATGAAAGAGATCGTTCTTCGGAAGAAATACCAGCCCTGATAATAAATTGCTATTGGATAGAAATGCATCTGTATCATTCATTTGATATTGGTGGATTGATTCGACAGAAGGCTGATATAGTGAAGGGGCACGACAATCAATTCATCAATCAAAATTTGTACTATAGAGTATAGTTTAACAAAAATATGATAAATCAGACTGCATATATTCGAGTATATGCTTTACAGCAACTCAACAAGAAACTTAGAAAACAGATCAAAACGCACATCAACAAGAAATACTATTTCTAAGAGATAGACGTGCGACACTGCACTAAATCTGAAACAACAGAGCCCTGTAACCAAAGCCCTGAAACTGAAACACAAAGTTAGCGGACGAAGTTACTGAACTATAATAAAGATCAACAAAATAATCCAAGATACAAAAGTTACTGGACTATAAAAGTATAAAGATCAATAAAATAATCCAAGATACGAGAGATGATCTCTCTGCTCGCAGTGATTATATTTGAACGGAGGTTGTCAAAGCCAACCTCCAGCTCAGCCTGTCAGCTTGATTTCTTGATTTCAAGATCGTTTACCTCGTTTGACCTTATAAGGATCCTGGAAACCCAAGTCGTTTTAAACTTGTCTGGAAGTGTTGGCGAGAGTGTTATAGTTGCGGTGGTGCTGGGGATGATCAGACACACGGGAAGGTTTAAACTTCACTGTCAGAAGATTTGAAAATGCCAGTGAAGATCAAGAATTGAACTTAGATGGGAGTATTTAGACCAACTAATTGGCATTGTGCCAAAGTGATTACATTATTTCAGTCTCCGCCCAGAAACAAAGTAAATTGTAATATGATCATTTTGGCAACAAAAAACTACGTCGCGCCGTCGCGTATCACCAAGATTCGACAACACGTGTTACTACGTCACATACTACGTCACCAGGATTACGTAATAGGACCCTGGTAGAGGGAGGTGCAACAAGAGTATAACCTACGAGAATCTGATCCTTTAGTTAGACCGGTCCGCGTAGCTGACCTACTGAAATAGTGACGAATAGAACATGATGTCACGCTGTAATGGTCGGCTAGTGTTGAATAGGTGGAGATTGACCTGCTGAATAGGAGGAGATTTACCGGCTGCCTTGCTGTATTGACCTTGCTAAGCTGCTGGTGGCGATCGTAATTATAACATTATCTCATTATCGTACATAAGTAATTATCTTATTATACTGTAATGAAATGATGTATTTACAGTGTTATAACAGTTTAGATAATTATACTGTCATGACACTTGACAACTACTCATTAAACTTGACTTCAAACTATGTTGGAATATTAGAATTAGCGTGCATTTTTAAAAACACGCATTTTTGAAAAGAGCACAAGACAACAGCATCCAAAAAGGGCATTTCTCGTCAAGCAGCTGATGGCATTGTCAATGTCCTTCACTCGACATTTCAAACACAAGTATATATTTTACCCGGCAGTATAAGAGAAACAACGCAGTGCGAGGCACACACAGAGGGTATACGTATAACTTAAAGCAACGTGTAACTGTAAACACACAATGGGAGGGAAGTGAGGGGTTATGTTACGAGGTTTAAACACAAACAGTAAAACACTGCTCACTCTCTGCCATTACATGTAAAACACTGCTCACTCTCTGCCATTACATGTAAAATACTGCTCACTCTCTGCCATTACATGTAAAACACTGCTCACTCTCTGGCCTCTGCCATTACATGTAAAACACTGTTGCACTCTCTGCCATGTGCTACAGTTAAATTCCTTACCAGAGTTTATACAGTGTACTGCCAGAGTGCTACAATATCTTAAACAATGTTGGTAAAAGCAAGACCGACGAAACTAGAACGAGACAAAAGTCCCAGGTTTAGAAGTTTAACTTATCTCCCTCCCTCCCTCCCTTGTCTGTTCGTCTGGTCCTTGTTTCCATCTCGGAGTAAAATAGTCCACTGAATTTTACTGAAGTACAGAAAGTAACGCACTGTATCCAGATCCATTGCAAGGACTATATCTTGCTGTTTATCAAGCTACTACCAGCGTATTAGCAGGTGACATATCGGCGATCACACAGTAAATATCTGTGAACAATACTGGAAATATACATTATCAATATTTAGAGCAGTTATACAGCACTGCAACAATAAAAATACAGCAAAAGTAAAGTTACTCTGGAAGATAATGTTAGTGCAGCGTGTTCTGCAAAGCAGACTGGCGCAGGAACGCTGGGTAGATACCTACTCAATTAGACTATTTCTAGACGTTGTTCTGGCTTGTTTTACCGACTCCCTTATATGGGCATACTTCCGAATATGGACATACTCCCTTATATGGGCATACTCCCTTATATGGACATTGTTTCACCTTAATATCCGTGATATTTTGCTAATAATAAATACTTGGTGAAGGCTCATGTTGATTTTTTTAAATGGCAATGTTATCGATAATTGCATATTGCCGTGTTTTTTAAAGTTTAACGTTTGTGCTGTCTGTTTATAACAAAACTATATATTATAATATCGTAATTTTTGTCGCCCTGAATTCTTTATTTATTAACCGATCCTGACATGTCATACAGTTCCACACAGATAAAATGTCTGCACCCTATAATTTACCCTAATATACCCTATTAGTCCAGTCATTTATAAATGACTGGACTATATGTCAAAAGGTTAACACTAACAGCGCGGGTAGTCCTAATACTCAGCGTGTTTTAAGAACTTAAGAAGTTTTAATGATTACATAACTAAATATGTATAATTAGAGCTATCAGAGAAAGCATTAGGCAGGCAGATCATATCCGTTTCGTCTTCAAGGCAGATTAGCGAGTTTTAAACATCACCCATTATTGGTTTATCAACGGAGCTTATGCATTGTTTAAAACGTCACTCACATAAACGTCCCTCAACAGCGTTTTAATTTTTAAATTCACTATTAGCAGCTCGCTAAATACTTAACAAAGCACAAATTTTCCTCAAATTATCAGTATAATAAGTGGCGGCGGTGTTTAGGTATTATGTTAAAAATAAATACCTCTTACTTTCACTTAGTACTATAAAGGTACAAAAGAAGAAAAAAGAGTGCGTATATGAGACAATTAGAACTCTAAATGCCTAATAAATTGTAGGTACCACCTGTATTTACACTCACAATTGACCGATACGAGATTGGGTATGGGTTCTACAAACAAACGACCAAACAATAAGTGGTGATGTTAGGTGTTAAATAGGATGATGATTAATCACTCTACATTCGACTGTCACGTGACTTTTATAGGTGTTAAATACCTTTTACTATCATGAGTCATGACTACAAAGGAAGAAAAACAGTGCGTACAAGACAACGTGTACACAAACAAACAGCAAGACACAGGCAAGGTGGCAGAATAACAATAGCAGCAAGTATACACTGTAGGTACTTCGTTCATACACAACACTATGTCATATCCTTTCAAGGAAGTCATCGAGAATTAGCAGATAATTATAGCACGTTACTGTACCTGTACAGTTTAAATGTGAGAGAGAGAAAAAGAGAAGAAAAAAATGGCCGTGTTCGGTGTGTTTGTCTGTGCAGTGAGAAGTACACGAGACAGTATATATTATATATTATTATATATAGCATAGAACGGTTTTTAAAGTTAGATGTACTTGTCACTTGATATTGCGATCTGCAAAAACAGTTTCTCGTATAATTATTATGTCAAGCACGAGCAGAGTGATAGAGATATAACGTCGAGATATGATTATTATTAGTGGTACTGGAGGGAGGGAGGGAGGGAGGGAGGGAGGGAGGGAGGGAGGGAGGGAGGGAGGGAGGGAGGGAGGGAGGGAGGGAGGGAGGGAGGGAGGGAGGGAGGGAGGGAGGGAGGGAGGGAGGGAGGGAGGGAGGGAGGGAGGGAGGGAGGGAGGGAGGGAGGGAGGGAGGGAGGGAGGGAGGGAGGGAGGGAGGGAGCGAGGGGTTAAAAACGATGGAATTCAATAAGTTTTATTTTTGCTGCACAATTAAATGAAAAAACACATTAAACTATAACAGAAGCAAAATATATCAGCAAAATCAAGATTTGCAGAAAGTTGCATCAAAAGTTAGTGTCCAATCATCGTCCAATTAATAATACTTCCTTTAACTAGCCGCATAACAACATTCTTACAGTCCAAAAATAACAACACCACGATTCTCTTCCGGATTATTAAACTTAATGACAAATATCCTACATCTAGAGATTAAACATTTATGAAATAAACTTAACCATTCACTACGAATCTCTAAGCGTTCAGCTGCCGCAGTGACCGAATATACCTCGTGAAATAAAGCTATAACGACGGTTTACTACAATTATGACGTCACAAAGTAACTGCAAATTGTAATTGTTCATCATGCATTCAACTTCAAGACAAAGAGGGGAAGAGAAAAGTCACCGATTGATACTATTAAGAAATTTAAAGATCCATCACTGTCTAAGTAAAAGCAATTATATCCTATTAGTATTGTATCGCTATCTCAGATCCGTCTACATTAATTACTGTTCTTGTAGTAGTTAATGACTGTTCCTCGAGACTTCTGACGTTGGGCAAAGTGTAGATTGTTCTCAGACTTTTCTGTCAGCTTATACTCGTGTCCTGGATAATTAAACAAGAGTTAAACAGGAATTAAAATAAAGATGACAATAAAACGTCTACAGTAATCAGGTAGCTGTGATATAAGTTGTAAAAGTATTAACAAAAGAAGAAGAAAGAGTTTAACATTTAAATTACATGAGAAACTCCGAACTCGTACATTCAACATTGTAATGATAAAATAAAAAATAGCCAGGTACATAAATATTAGATTTCTTAAAGTTAAATCAATGTAAACAATAAACAACGAAAAAGAAACTTATGAAATACCAACCTATGAAATGGAAAGGAGGAGCGAAGTTTCCAGCGCACTTGATGAGACTGTTCAGCCTGCAGCTGTAGCTTCCGCTTCCTGTTCTCCAAACCTGCCAATGGAAAGAGGAATAATATTCAAATAACTCCGTGCAAGAAGTTAGCTATTGTTGAATTTAAAATGGGTTGGTTTTGATCAGTAACACGTTACTATGATAAGAATAACTAGTTAAAACGATTGCGGAGATGACAAACGCCCTATAAATCCCTCCCTCCCTCCACAACGGCCGCGATGAGCAATGAGAATTAAATCAGCGATAAAAAGTGCACAAACTTACGAGATCAATATTGGTCAGTGCCTCATCAGCCTTGTCTCCCTTGTCCACGACCTCAAAGCAGGGCATGGTCTGACTAAGATCCTCTGATTTAGCCAGGCTTTCCTCCCCCACACCTTCAAAATGCACCTGACACCTGAAGTAGGTGTAAACTTACTGAGTTTTCTGAGCTTGTTGGGATAACATTTCGAGGATTAAATGGGTTCTTTTTTTTAAATCGGAGATTTACTTGAAAGAATCAAATGTCAAATGACCCCCAGTGCGTAATCAGCTTAAATTGCGGTTAAATAACAAATAATAAGTAACAAGCCGGCATGCCCATGTAACTACCTCAATAAGGCAGTAGCAAGTCATGCCCATATAAGGCAGTAACCGACAAATCATGCCCATATAAGGCAGTAACCGACAAGTCATGCCCATATAAGGCAGTAACCGACAAGTCATACTCATACTCTCATATAAGGCAGTAACCGACAAATCATGCCCATATAAGGCAGTAACCGACAAGTCATGCCCATATAAGGCAGTAACCGACAAGTCATACTCATACTCTCATATAAGGCAGTAACCGACAAGTCATGCCCATATAAGGCAGTAACGACAAGTCATGCCCATATAAGGCAGTAACCGACAAGTCATACTCATACTCTCATATAAGGCAGTAACCGACAAGTCATGCCCATATAAGGCAGTAACCGACAAGTACCTGCAGATAAGAGTTTCCTTAACATGGGTGAGAGTACAGGTAGCCCGGACTGTCATGCCATCAGTAAACTTCCCCTCCAGCTCTACGTTCATTGAGCCAGGAAATCCGGTTTTGAAAAAGTCGTACACCATAGTTCCTGACAAATATATAACGCTGTTACTACTTTACTAATATTACACTAACAAATTGCAATGAACTACACAATGTTAAATTGATCAAATGCTCGGAAACACATTATGTGTCCATTAATTGCTAATAACAGCAAATACTGGTGGACTCTTTTGGATATACACAGCTGTCTCAGGAAATTATTTCTCTAGTGTAAACTCAAAATGGTATACCTGTGTATTGTGTAAACATCCGGAAGTTAGTCTGAATAATGGTTCCCACAATATTGAAGTTGATCGGAAGAGGACTGTTACAGTTCAGTTCCAGATTCTGACATCCGTCAAGTGGTTGAGCAAATCCTTCTCCTGTTACCTGAAGAAGTAAACAAATCAACTATTGGCTCATTTTCTTTGATTTAGCGTAAGGTAGCCAGCTTCTCGATTATGACGAAGATCTAATCGTGAATGTTAACTAAATGGTCACCCTCCACGTTCGCGTAGTGTCGCTGAAGTGGTAGCATAGTATTGGTAATAGTATATAATGGCTCTCTTCTTTCACGGATGGAGAAACAAAATTAAGAATAAAAACGAATGCACGCAGAGGTCTTGGTACGCTAGGTAATACTTTCGGCTATTGCAACCCTATTACTCTATTACTTATTAGACGCGACGCCTTGTAACCCTAGGGCTAGACGCGACGCCTTGCAACCCTAGACACGACGCCTTCCGCTTGAGGCACGATTCATCCGTCAAATGTATGAACAATGAATTTGGGACGGTACGCGTATATTTACGATAAAGGTTAAACACAAATTTAATTTGACCATTTGTTCGGGCACGGTAATACTCGATTAAATATTTCAAAGCAAATCGAGCTGCTTTAAATGAAACATTGCAGGTTCATAGCCACTCTGCCACTCTGCCACTTGTTCATAGCCACTCTACCATTCTGCCACTCTGCCACTTGTCGAGCTGGTTTTCGTGGTCGAGTCAGGAACAAATGATTACGGGAATCGCCCGTAAAGCGAACTGAGCAAACATTTTCCCTCGACTAACTTTGTAAGAAGAATCGTCCTCAAAATGAACATCAGCAATTACTTTACTTTTAGTATTCCCACGATACTCGAACTTGCCCCTATCCATTCGTTCCTCCATGATGCTGTCGTAGGAAAAATAAAAAGACGTATATTCGATATGTAGTTATATGCTCGCTCATCATAAATATTTATTAATATTTTAGCCATTACTTATTCTAGCAAATAAAATGGATATACGGAATTCCCATTTAATTTAATGTTTGAACACTAAATCTAAGGCTGTTTCAATTAAGAACCACCAGAAAAGTAGAAACTATAAAACCTCTTTTGGTTCAATAGATGGATCGAAATGTTACTGAAAAGTGTCACATATGATATATCTATCTACAAACAAATTTACAACATCAAAAACGTCATCAAGAACTATTAACTGGCACTTCAAGAGAGTACGATCTATCATGGAAGTCTTTTGTTCTTTAAGTTTACATCTGTTGTTATTTCAGGAATTTTTCAGATCATTGTTTGTCCGTTTATAGCTGGGTGAAATATGTTTTCAGAAAATCTATTTGTGTAAGACTGTTGTCCCTTAATTGTTAATTCCTCAATTCTCTGAATACTGAAACAATAGCGGTTGCCAATAATTCTACAGTTTGTTAATGTTCACTCATGGCATGCTTCACTCATAGTCCACCGAGATTGAGCTTATCAAACAAAGAGGACAAAAAAGCTATATATTAGCTATTACATTTCATTTTGGATGGCTGTTCTAAGACGTAGACGTGGTACTTTTAGTTACAGTTAACGTAGTTGTGCGCCGTCGACCTGCTGACCACCGAATGGAGAATTAATTTAAGTAGGTTCTAGGAGACAGAAAGAAGGAACGTCTTCTTGGTCAAGTGAGCAAGCTCCCACAGTCTCAATGACATTGACAATAAGAACAGGAGTTTTTTTGACAGTTTAATTTCCGAGTAAAAGTAAGAATTTTGCAAAGCAGTAAAAGTTTTAAATGTTTTTCGATTTCGATGAAACTTCAGAGTCAATGAGACAATTCCGAATGCAGAAAATCTAGAAAACTATTTTAAAACAGCCATATAATATACATTCTGAATTCTGATATGTACCTACAATACTCTAAAATTCATCAAAAAAATCCTGAAAGCAGAAGCATTTTTTATTTATTTTTATTTTTTGCAGCTACTATCACAATAGGTTTGACAGTTTACAATGGTCACGTGTTCATCATAGTTTAGATTCCTGATTGATAGGATTCTCAAAAGTTATTGCCTGATCCATCACACTTGTGGCAGTCTTGTTTGCAGCTGGAAGATTACTTGAGGACGTCGGTTTTTGTTGATTCGGCGGAGAAAGATGCTGACGTCGGGGCCCAGTTACTGGTGTAACGCCATTAGAATTGGAAGCAGAATTACCAGTTCCGATTCTATTGCGTACTCCCACAAAATATGATCCTCCTTGCCAGATCTTTAACGTACTTTCCAAATCTTCTATTTGTTATGGTGTACAATATTGGGTTGCCGCAGACATTTAGATATAAAAAGTGAAAAGCCATGAGGTCCATAGCAGGGGACACTTGAATTCCTTTGCCTTTAAGAATGGTAAATATCACAAACGGAGTCAGACTGCAAATGAAGAGTCCAGATAAAAAGAAAATGGTTATCAATCCCTTTAAGTTAACTGAACTGTTTGGATTGTGCTTCATCTTTTGTCGATAAGCCACCAAGAGTAAAACCAAGTTGAAAAAGGTGATGAGAACAAGTGGCACGACAGCCTGCATTATTAGCACAGCCCTAAATAAAAGGGCAGCATCTTGGTTTGAATAAATAGTAGAGAGGCATCGAGCGCTATTAGGAACAAACACAAAATCAGACTTGTAGCCTAAAGATATTGCTGGTGCAGCCATTGAGAAGATCCAGATAATAATAATGGCTACATGAACAGACCTCCTTGAAACTACATCGAGAGGGAAGACAATCGTTCTAAGTCGGTAGGCTGTAATGGTCAGGATAGTGAGGCTATTTACAGCACCAGTGATGAACCCAAAATGAGCACAAATGTAACAGTAGACTTCACCCAAAATATACCTCCGAGCGAAGTAAGTGGTAGCAGGAGGAATTACCGCCAGGAGGGTGTATAACATGTCCGCCACCTGCCAGGTTCCTTACCAGTACAATGGATATCCGGTCCAGGTCTATCGCGTTATACCGGATAGAGGAGTAGAAGACGAGGCCGTTTCCCATGAGCCCCATTATTGCAACCAGCAGGCAGAATGTTGCCAGTGGTATCACTTGAGCTGTGCTCAGCGTCAACTCTAACATTTCTTCTCATCTTAAACGTTCATCTTCCTAAAGTTAAACCAGGTTTTTAATTTCTCATTTGGACCCAAGGCCGGAGAAACAAATATTCGTCAAAAAATACGGCGCATTTAGAGTTCTTAAAAAATACGCGAACAATTCGCCAATTTACTACTTCAAGTTTTAATTTTTAGGGCTGTTAAATTCGCCAATAAATGCGCAGAAAATTCGGTAAAACTGCGGCTGTGGAAACACGCAGCATTGCAGCAATCTCGAGTCTATTTCAGTACCCCCTCGAGTCTTGGTCAGTACCCACGCTAGTCACTAACCAGTAACCACGAACGTGTTGCGGGAAGCACATGTTATGTGTTTTGGCAATATTCCACCATACAAAACCAACTATAAACTATCGTGAAACAACTACAGTTTTTTTTTTAAATGCGGACATTTTCAGAGAAAAATTCGTATGCGAATTTAATTCGAATAATACGTTTAGTGCGAATTTCACAGCAGATAAATTAAATACTCAAATTTGCCAGAGAGCAGTCTCTCTCTCTCTCTCTTTCTCTCTTTATGTGTGGTACCTAGCTCTTGTCTTAGCCGTAATATGGTACTCATTTAATCCAGGTCAATGTTCGTATAATAATCTGCCACCTCGTACTGTTCTTTGATCTTTCAGTCTAACTCGGTAACTCGCTGAATTTATTATGCTAATTTCACAAGTAGATCACTAACTTTTATTTTACCTGGCTTCAGTGTTCCTAAACGATCGGAGACATATACGGAATGACAGGCTGAGCGCCGCCTAGATCAGTACTCGCCTACACATAAACCTTGGAAACTATCGTTTTATCGGTACTCATATTGAACATCAGGCGCCTAATATAATAACTATAACTATATAAGGACCCGCATACAGCAAAATCAGCGAAACACTATCATGAACTATTATAAATATAATACTTGTAGCACATTTAGAGGAAAAGGCCAATTCCTCTTTCAGTTCCCGCAACGCCTGGCAACTTAGTAAGCTAGGCTTGTTTCTAAACTATTTTCAAATTCATAATTTGCAAATCACTTTTTGTACTTGTAGTTGTACCACCAAGCAGCAAATAGCCACGAAATAAGTTTGATTTAAGAAAAACTAGGTATCCGACGTGAAATTAAAATTAAATATTACAGCATGGGACAAATGGTTAACAATAAATATTTTAACTTGTACACTATTAATTGTTTGAAATATAAACATCGTAGATGAGCTGCGAAGCATTAAAACAATTCGCGCCTTTTTTAATTACCAATTACGTTGATAATGATTGACCATTGACGATGTTTAGGAATATAATGTCCCCCAGCTCCTTCAACCCAGAAAACCTTACCACCTGCCGGGCTCGCTAGAGGTGATCGATTTTCAACAGCGCATTTGTCCTCGCGCGCGCGTCTCATCAAGTTCACCTTTCGCACGCTGCATTTAGCCTAGTAGTCATGACAACAACGTATTATTATATTACTTTGCAAAGTTAAAAGGCTGCGATCTTTTATTTAGCCCAAAATCAAACTTTTCGGTTTAATTCAGAATCTAAGTTGTCCCAAATTTTGCTCGTGGGGAGCTAACTTTAAATTTACAAGACGGAAATCTTGTTAAAAACCGGAAGGTTCTATTTATTTTACTTTTGAGATAAACCCCAGCCGGTAGGGTTTGCTGGGTATCCGTATACTTATAGCCTACGCGAGTTTAAAAGAATTTGCACTTTCATTTTAAAACGCTCACTTTGACAAACCATAACTCGCCACGAATCAAGTCAACCTTCAATTTAAAAATATCAAAACAAAGTAGAGAATTTTGCCAACAGGAAAGGGGACCCTTGGATGGGGTCGTGAAAACGCGATCTTCACCCTTATAGTCGACTTTTAAAACTTCAGCACCCCCCCCCCATCTGCTTTCTTCTTCTGAAACTATGAACTCTCGGCTCTCTCGCGTTCACAGCTCGACGCGGCCAAATTAAATAGTGCATTGCGCTACAACGCGCGCACTAGCAGGTTATAATTTACTGGGTGGTGCTCAGCTAGCCTGTTCATACCACTGTCATTCCGCCTAATCTCAAGTATTCTCTATTTTATTTTTATGAACATTATACTTATAGCTTGGAATCCTCAGATAAATTGTAAATTATAACATAAACTATTGTATGATCTGAGCTTTTTCTTTTACGCAAATCTCGAAAATATTGAATTGTGATCTCATGCATCAATCACAAATCATCATGCAGGCATAGTAAAAATATTTATTATACAACTATCTAATTGACCTTGTGTTCTAAGCTAAAGTGCCAAACTTCAAAACGCGCACATTTAAATTGCAAATTATACTTATAGCACGCGTTTGGCAGATAATTGATGATTTGTAAATTTTAAACCTGATTTTGTTAGTTTGGAGGAGCATCACGGCTCTCGACAGTCAAAGTACAAATACAAAATGAAACTAGGCAAATGTGATAACAAAAATGGAAATAATACGGACATGTGCACCTAACGTTTCGGCACTTACTGGCCTTTTACGAAGGATAACAAAATCGTTTCAAACTCACGCTCGGCCTTACGCGAGATCTGAAATTTTAAACCTACCAAGACGCGCGCCGAGTTAAACTCGTCGACGGTCGTGATCACTGATATTTGAAACAAATATTTTACGGCTATCACCCGTTTTGGTTTACAGATGATTACCTGTCACGCCAGTCCCTGTGCGCTCTTTTCAGTTGCTTCTTGAACAGGAAGTTAAATTACGTGAGAGAACTAGAAGCAAACAATAATCTTTTACTATACTAGCAAGCTAGGTTTTGTAGGTTTATAACCTACCAAGACGCGCGCCGAGTTCAAAGTTGGACTCGTCGACGGTCCTGATATTTGAAACAAATATTTTACGAGTATCACCCGTTAAACTTAAGCTAGGTTAGGCAGATGATAATCGTTTAAATTCTTTGAAGTATATATAGTTCGTGCCGCTATCTTTTAACTTTTAGGTCGACTTGTCGCACAATGCAATTGCAAGGTGTATTGTGTAACGTTGCCTGTTGGCGCGTAACGGGTGATACTTGTAAAATATCTGTTCCATATATCAGGACCGTCGACGAGTCCAACTCGGCGCACGTTTTGGTACTGGTAGGTTGTAAACCTACAAGTTGGCGCCCCCTCCCCTTTTGGCGCCCCTCCCTAAAATTAAGCAAATTAGGTGATTTTAGAGGATACGCCGGTAAAACCTCTAAAAAAGTGTGTTTCTAGAGCAAAACGCGCAGTTTTGGCTAGTACATAGTAGTAATATCTCAGTTATGAGTTAAGTTTTTCAAAATTGTCCTTGTAACGTCGCAGCAAATTCGACAGCAAACAGGTTTTTTGATTGACGGCATGCAACAGATGTTGGGAAAATCTTTTTCAAGAGTACAGTTTACCGCATTAAGGTATTTTAAAGAATCATTTTTGTCGGTAAGATCTTGTTTTAGATTGACCATTGTTAATGGTCTGGCCCGGCGCGCGCTACTTCGTAGCACTTGCCGTCGTAGCACTTGCCGTCGTAGCACTTGCCGTCGGGCCATTTCGAGAAGAAAGCGGCGCGCGCTACTTCGAAGAAATTTAGACGAGTAACATCCGTCAAGTTTTATAATAATAAGGTTACCTGCAACCTGGGGACCTCAAGCTATTATGTTCATTAACATAGAATCTAGAGATTCGGCGGAATGACAGGCTGAGCGCGGCCCAGTAAAAATAAAGTAGTGCGCCATTGACAGTGAGCTGCGCGTGCCGACTGTAGGATGGTTTTTTAGCGCTAATTTCGGCCAGCACCAAATTCTTGAAACAAATGCGTATTAAGTAACCTTCCCTTGATCCAATTTTAACAAAAATTGGTTAGCTTACTCTTAACGGGTGATACTCGTAAAATATCTGTTCCATATATACAGGACCGTCGACGAGTCCAACTCGGCGCGCGTCCTGGTAGGTTGGTAAATTAAACCTACTGCGCACCTAAGCTACCCTGTTGCCCCAAAAATTAAAAATTAGATTTATGGCAACCTCAAAATTTGTTAACACAGGCTTTTAGATATTATCTACATTTTGCTAGAATAGTAGAAGTTTTGCGGAAATGACTTAGTCGAGCCAAATCAGCCAGTAAAGTTTGTTACGCTTAATAAACAGCTATTTTGCCCCATTTGCGGAATCTTTCCACTTTTAATACATTTACTATTAAGTATTTAAACTCATTTTCCACCTAAATTTTTCGAAGTGTGAAATTTATTGGATGGTCCCCAATTTTCAAAACTTGACGTCTTACAATGAAACGAGATTGACGATAATTGCAAAATAAGTTTGCAAATTACGGAATTTTACACACTTTGTCCAAAAGCCGCACCATCTAATATGGCACATAGGCGAAATCACTAATCTTTCCAAAGGTAATCAAATTTGTACTAGTAAGACTCCAGTTCTAGAATTAAAAATCTTCGGTAAACAAATTGAAAATCCGAGGCTTATGGTTTTATGCGCACCACTGAAGATTTAGATTCGAGAATTGTTAACTTATTCGCGATCGTACACTGGAGCTTTTTCGTAGGCTGGCTACGATTCGTTGAAGAGCGACTGACCTCAAGTTATCCCAACATAATGACTAGTTAGTCGCTTTTGTACCCTTGTAAGAAGTAACAGGATTGGCTCCTAAAAGGAACCTCAGCATAACTTACTTTTGCGTTTCAGTAACATGGATTCAGCCTTCCATTGCATGTCCTGTGCTTCTGATTTCTTAGAATTGAAAGTGTGTCTACTTTCAGTATCATTGATCAATGACCAAGAAATTGTTCACGGCAGGCAATCAATAAAATTCGAGTTAAAAAATGGTTGCGCCCCATTATAGTTTATGGGCGTTTGCCCCGCATGCAAATTAAATGGTAATAGTGTGGTTTTCTTTCCTTGGCTTATGTGTAATACTTTGACTAGCATTGGCTAATACACACAGTAATTACTGTTCAAAATAACTATTACTGTGCTTTTAAAATAGGAAATGATTGCCATTTAAGTGCCCCATTTCAAATATACAATCTTTAAATCAAATATATCCGTGCCACATCTTTATTTGACAGTAAACTTGTAAATACTTACGATTTTCATTGTTATTCAAAAAGGAATATAAGAACAATAATAACACAACAAGAATTCGTGAAAAACCACTACAACTTTTGTCCAACCCACATAATATGACAGGCGAAACTCACAACTTCAAAACCCATAATTTGGTACTGGAAATGTCCGTTCTGATTAATAATCATGGTACAAAATTTTGGAAATCGGAAGGTTTTTTTCGGACCTTAACAAGTTGGGGAGGCGGATTGGATGGTTATCGAGCTTCTTAAAATGCAATCAGTTCTAATCGTTTGCAGTTTACTCTTCTTAACCACTAATTTATAACGACGGGTATATAACGGAGTTGGCTTTGGTTTATTGGTACTTAATGGAGTTTAGTTTTCAAAAGAGCTGAGCAACTTTAATTAAGCCTTTATAAACAAATTAATTTAAATTGAATGTCAATCAGCTTTTTTTAGATAATCATTAGTTAAAGTAAAACATTTGATTTCTACACGTACAATGTACGTTAAAACTCGGGTAATTATAAATAACTAACATTAAAATTTACTCGCCCCAATAAATTTTAAGGAATTACCTCAAAAATGTAAATATTAAATATTAAATAGTAAAACTACAATGGCACGAGCAACAAAAATGGTCAATTGAGCTTTAAATACTAAACAAATATTGCTTCACAAAAACTAATCTATCTGTGCTTTCTGCATTAGGAAATGAGAGGTTAACAATGCAAATATAATCGTATCAATTCCGTGCAACATCTTTATTTCAGAAACACAATGTAACATACACGTAAGCTGCTGTCTGTGTCATAATAAAGTCAACATAAAAGCAACAACAATAACACCAGGACAGAGAACGGAACAAACCAAAATATCCCCAAATTGCAATCACCACCCATATGGTCTGATGGTGTGATAATAATAGGGATAATGGTTTGGTGGTTGCGGGGTTTGACGTTTAACAAGTTGGGGGAAGTGGCCCGGATGGATGGTTTGCGGAGTACTTACATTAAAAATGCAACTCAGTTTATCTACAATCGTGCAGTTTATCTCTTCTTTAACCCACAATTTTAACTGTCGGGTTAAACGGGAGTTGGGTTTAGGATTGGTCACTGGTATGTGATTTTACCGTTTATAGCTTGAGTCTGAACAAAAGAAAGACCAATATTATAATCAAATTAAATTTAAATGTAGATATTGTCAATCAGCTATTTTCTAGCATAATCATTAGCTAAAAGTAAAACATTTGATTTCCTACACGTCACTGTACAGTTATAAAACTCGGGTATTATAAATAACTAACATTAACAATTTACATTACATGCAATAAATAAAAATAAAAATTTACTAAAAATGTAATATTAACATTGATTAAAAACTAAAACTACAAGGACGAGCAACAAAAATGGTTGTCATATGTCACAAAATACTGAACACTCAAACTATGTGCTTACACGTAAAAACGTGTTAATCATTAATTATTTAAACTATGTCTGGTATTACACCGTGTCTTCTCCCAAAGACTGAGACCATCGTTAGTGGTCCTAGCGTTGTCCAGTATCTCATTGACAGGATGGTCGTCTATTTATTTGGAGTCCCAAGACTCGCCCGTTTGTATAGCTCCCAATATCTCATCGTACTTTTATCTGGTCAGCGAATAAATTATTGTTTTTTAAACTCATCGCCAATTCATTTCAATCAATATGCATTCATATCTACAATGTATTTATACAATTTGTCAACATGTACAAAATATATAATTATATTATGTTTGTACCTTTTTAGAATAGGAAAGTTTGACGGATCCTGAAAGCAGATCGTTCAGTTTCTCTACCTTATTCTCCAGATAATTTGATCTCAGAGAGTCACCAGGAGTTATCAGCGTGGACAGTTCCTCCCGCAGATTACTCTGTTTAGCGGTCTCCAGCCTAGCTAACAGCTGGTGAGGGGAGAAGTCCAACTGGCTAGGTTCACTCACTCTCATGTCCACCAGTCCGTTCACTACGTTGTACTTCTCTGACTTGGACCTGCCCAGAGACAGGCATACTCCCACGAGTTGCTGGGGTGAGGTGGAGGTTATGTAAACCTCACTCACCCCAGCAACTCGTGGGAGTATGCCCTGTCTCTGGGCAGGTCCAAGTCAGAGAAATACAACGTAGTGAACGGACTGGTTGACCATGAGAGGAGTGAAACCTAGCATTGGCTTCTCCCTCACCAGCTGTTACTAGGCCTGGAGACCGCTAGAACAGAGTACTCTGCGGAGGAACTGTCCCACGCTGATAACTCCTGGTGACTCTCTGAGATCAAATTATCTGGAGAATAAGATAGAGAAACTGAACGATCTGCCTTCAGGATCCGTCAAACTTTCCTATTCTAAAAAGGTACAAACATAATATAATTATATATTTTGTACATGTGACAAATTGTATAAATACATTGTAGATATGAATGCATATTGATTGAAATGAATTGGCGATGAGTTTAAAAACAATAATTTATCTCCCTGCAGATAAACAGCTACGATGAAATATTGGAGCAACAACGGGCGAGTTTGGGACTCCAAATAGACGACCTGTCAACTGAGATACTGGACAACGCTAGGAACACTAACGATGTGTCTCAGTCTCTGGTGAGAAGAACGGTGTTTTAAACTTGAAGATCTGATAGTGATATGTGATGTTTTATTATTTACAAGTTTTTTTTTTATAAATTTTCAATAGTTTCCTCCGTGTAAAAGTTTCCAGCTCAGATAATGTAATTGAGCTCCACGAAAAATATACTTTCGCCTCTAACTCTCTAATCTAACCTTGAATCTTTCCTTCACAATTCATCTCTAGTTCTAAAATATCTTCTTTCAGTCCGTGTGGAGACCTCGGATTGCCCCAAACTTTCACGGCTGGAGAACCTGGCAGCGCTCGGCATACATAGCTGACAAAATACAACTCCTTAACAAGGAACGATTGAAGAAAGTGCCGCAGCTGGAGTCTGAATCATGATGTGGACATCACGTGGTGTTCGCGGGGTTCAAAATTCGAGTAAATCTTGTTTTGAAATGAAGTGAGATGTTCATTATCATGATTATGAGTTGCCTCGCGAATCCTGATACTTTAATATAGTTCTTAGTTAAATGCAACAAAATAGACCGTGGACCGTTATTTTCATTAGTTTCATATCAGACATTTATTTTAAGTAAATACCAGACATAGTTTAAATAATTAATGATTAACACGTTTTTACGTGTAAGCACATAGTTTTGAGTGTTCCGTATTTTGTGACATATGAACAACCATTTTTGTTTGCATCTCCTTGTAGTTTTAGTTTAATCAAAGTTAACTATTACATTTTAGTAAATTTTATTTTTAATTATTGCCTGTAATGTAAATTGTTAATGTTTAGTTATTTATAATACCCGAGTTATATAACTGTACAGTGACGTGTAAGGCAATCAAATGTATTTACTTTTAGCTAATGAATATGCTAGACAAATAGCTGAAGACATATCTACATTTAAAATTAATTTGATTAATAATATTTGTCTTCTTTTTGTTCCGACTCAGCGATAAACGGTAAAATCACATACCAGGTGACATCCTAAACCAACTCACCGTTTTAACCCGACAGTTAAAATTGTGGGTTAAAGGAAGAGAAAACTGCACGATTGTGATAACCGAGTTGCATTGTTAATGTAAGTACTCCGCAATCCATCCATCCGGCCACTTCCCCCAACTTGTTAAACGTCAAACCCGCAACCACCAAACTCATTACCCTATTATTTATCACACCACAGTCCATATGGGTGTGGATTGCAATTGGGATATTGGGTTTTGTTCCGTTCTCTGTCCTGGTGTTACTGTTTGTTGCTTTTTATGTTGACTATTTTATAGAACAGACAGCAGCTCTGCGTGTTATGATACATTGTGTTTCTGAAATAAAGATGTAAGACGAAAGATACGATTATATTTGCATTGTTAACCCTCATTTCCTAATGCAGAAAGCAACAGAATAGATTATTTTTTGAACAGTAATTCTGTAAGTTATACAAAGCTCAAAGTTGTACATAAATGCCAATGGAAAGAAAACCGCACACATTACATATTACAATAGTATTTTGGCATGCCGGTAGCATCCGCCATGAACATCATTATTGGGCGCGCAACCATTTTTTAACGGCGAATTTTATTGATTGGTGTCTTGAACATTTTTTGTCATATCAATGATATCGAATAAACACTTCATATTTCTAAATAAACGAAAGCAACATGGATCATCGAATGAGAGAGCCTGAATCCCAATTTACTGGAACGCTAAAAGTAAAGTTATTGCGAGTTCATTATGAGACGAACCTAACCTTCTTACAAGGTAGTCAATAAAGGCAAACAAATTCCTCTAGTCATTATGTTTTTGTGGATAACTAAGGTCGTCGCTGCTTCAACGAAATCGTACGAGCTACGCAAAACAGCCCATGTACTAGTATAAGTATATCAAATTTGCTCTTCAATCTTTCCAGGGTGCACGATAAAATAACTTGCTCGATTTTCAAAAATTTTGACCATGACGTTTTCTAATTCTAGAAGACTGTGAAATTTTCACAGTAACCAAATTTGTATACCTTTTTGAAAAGATTAGGAAAGTTTTCCGCCTATGTGCCATATTGTTGGTGCGCGGCTTTTGAGCAAAAGTAGTGTAAAAGTCGCGTAATAGACGAAATTCGTTGATTTTATGTCATATTGTTCTGTCAACTCCCGGTTTTCTTGAATAAGATCAATTTGAAAAATTGGTAAAGACCTTCAAATTAAAGCTTTCATAACTGTCCAAAAAATTTGTGGATATCGGAGTTGATAATGTAGATTTAAAGTTGATATAGTGATGAAAATGGGGCAACTGCAAGATGGGCAAAATACGCTGTTTTTAGCTGTAACATAATTTTTACTGGCCGGCGCTCAGCCTGTAATTCCGCCGAATCTCTAGATTCTATGAGTATTGCTGAAAGCACAGTTGTAGGCTACACGACCGCCTCTAACAACCAATCCCTGTTACATTCCGTGTAGCGGGACTAACAGAGCTAAACTATAAGCCGGGGCATAGCCAATACACTATACTCCATCATTGATATATTACCAACCCGAAGGAAAATTTCCTTGTGTTTTGGAATCTAACAAACGAAAGTTCAATCCGACGAAATTCCGAAATCATTCCAGTAGACCTAGCGCATTGCAACCACAGCCCGGAAATACTTATGAAGTAATTGCTGAAAGCACATGTAAGGCCTACACGGACCGCACTCTAACCTAGCCAATCCCTTTTTACAGCCGTGTAGCAGACTAATAAAGAGCTTATAACTAGGTAAGCGGGGCATATCCAATACCTATACTTTCCATCCTTGAGTATATTACCAACCAAAGGAAAATTTCCTTGTTGTGAATCTACCAAACGAAAGTTGTACAATCCACGATATTCCGAAGAAATCATTCAGTAGACTAGGCGCATTGCAAAGCACAGCCACGGAAATACGTTTTGAATTGCTGAAAGCACAGTGGTAAGGCCTACACGGACCGCCTCTAACTATGTTAATGAACAATGATAGCCGAATCCCCATAACCTTTTATTATAAAACTTGACGTATTTACTCGTCTAAATTTCTTCGAATACGCGCGCCGCTTCTTCTCTGAAATGGCCCGACGGCAAGTGCTACGACAGCAAGTGCTACGACGCAAGTGCTACGAAGTAGCGCGCGCTGGGCCGAGACCATTAACAATAGTTAATAAAAAACAGGATCTTACGACAAAAAATGATTTTTAAAATACCTTAATGCAGTAAACTTACTCTATTAAGGTGAAAAAAGAATTTCCCCACACAAAACATTTGTTTGCATCAGTCACAAAAAACCTGTTTGCGTAGAATTTGCTGCGACGTTACAAGACAATTTTGAAAAACTTACTACTATGTACTAGCCAAAACTGCGCGTTTTGCTCTAGAAACACACTTTTTTAGAGATTTTACCGTCGTATCCTCTAAAATCACTAATTGTTTAATTTTTAGGAGGGCGTCAAAAGGGGATAGGATCAAGGGGGCGCAACTTGTAGTTACAACCTACCAATACAGGACGGCGCAGAGTTGGGACTCGTCCCGGACGGTCCCTGATATATGAATAGATAATTTACAAGTATCACCCGTTTAAGGCTAACAGGCAACGTTACACCATGAATTGTGCGACAATTCGACCATAAAGTCAAAAAGATAAGCGGCACGAACTAATATAAACATACAAAGAATTTAAGACGATTATCACTACCTAACCTATGCTTAAGTTTAACGGTGATACTCGTAAAATATTTTTTTCAAATATCAGGACCGTCGACGATCCAACTTTGAACTCGCGCGCGTCTTGAGTAGGTTATAAACCAACAAAACCGCTTGCTAGTATAGTAAAAATTATTGTTTTCTTCAGGTTCTCTCACGTAATTGTCAACTTCCTGTTCAAGAAGCTACTGAAAAAAGAGCCACCAAGGGGGACTGCGTGACAGGATAATCATCCTGTAAACCAAAACGGGTGATAGCCGTAAAATATTTGTTCAAATATCAGTGATCACGACCGTCGAGAGTTTAACTCGGCGCGCTCATGTAGTTTAAAATTCAGATCTCGCGTAAGGCCGACGTGAGTTTTGAAACGATGTGTATCCTTCGTAAAAGGCCATAATGCCGAAACTTAGGTGCACATGTCCGTATTATTTTCCATTTATTGTTATCACATTGCCAGTTTCATTTTGGTATTTGGAACTTTGACTGTCGAGAGCCGTGATCTCCTCAAACAAACAAAAATCAGGTTTAAAATTTAACAAATCATCATTATCTGCCAAACGCGTGCTATAATTATAGATTTGCAATTTTACATGTGCGCGTTTTGAAGTTTGGCACTTTAGCTTAGAACCACAAGGTCATTTAGATAGTTGTCTAATAAAAATTTTTATACTATGCCCAGATGATTTGGTGATTGAGGCATGAATCACAATTCAAATATACTCAAATTTGCGTAAAAGAAAATCTCAGAATCATACCATTGAGTTTATTATAATTTAAATTTATCTGAGATTCAAGCTTAAGTATAATGTTCAAAAAATAAAATAGAAATACTTGAGGATTAGCGATGACGTGGTATGACAGGCAATCCTGAGCACCACCCTCCAGAAAATTATAACCTGCCTAGTGCGCGCGTTGTAGCGCATGCACTATTTAATTTGGCCGCGCGAGCTGTGAACGCGAGAGAGCCAGAAGTTCATAGTTTCAGAAGAAGAAAGCAAGATGGGGGGGGGTGCTGAAGTTTTAAAATTTCGACTATAAGGGTGAAGATCGCGTTTTCACGACCCCATCCAAGGGTCCCCTTTCCTGTTGGCAAATACTCTACTTTGTATTAGAAATTTTTAAATTGAAGGTACCTTGATTCGTGGCGAGTTAAGGTTTGTCAAGTGAGCGTTTTACAATGACAGTGCAAATTCTTTTAAACTCGCGTAGGCTAAAGTATACGGATACCCAGCAAACCCTACCGCGCTGGGTTTAATCTCAAAAGTAAAATAATAGAACCTCCGGTTTTTAACAAAGTTCCGTCTTGTAAAATTAAAGTTAGCTCCCCAA